GTTTCTCTCCGATTCATGAAAATGATGGTGAGGTAACACTTCCACCAAGTAGATTTGAAGCAGATGGCAAAAGGTCTAAACAATTGAGACTATGATTACGACATCCCTTTTCATAGTTCTGAAATTGTTTAGACACACATGCATGCTATCTAAGGAAAGGTGTATGTTTTTTGATAAAGTTTTTATCAAAGCATCTCGTATCAGAAGTCTGAACTTTGGTAAGAAAGTCAATAAAGTATTGATTTCTAGAAGTCCAGCTGATTTCTGAGTACATGTCAAAGCTAGTGGGAGCATAAGTGTTATGCTAATAATCATCATGTTAGTGGGAGCATGATAATTATGATAAAGGTTGCAAGTTAGCAATGTTAATTATAGAAAACAAAAGTTTCAATTCGTGGAGTTGCAGGGGTTGAAAAGTTGTTTTGCTATAATTAAGGGAGAGGAAATTATACTTCATTTCAATTCTAAAAGCTTAGATTGAGGTTTTAATCATCTTTAGTCAAGGATATATATGAATTTTGTGTTGGAATGACTCAACATAATGAAATTCTATATATAGGTCTATTATTTGCGTTCTAAAATTCGATTATGATTACGGCATCCATTTTCATAATATGAATTATGAGAACTTGGCAAATAGAAGTATTGTAGCAAAAGGACTGGTCTAGTATCATGTCTTTATGTGAGACATCATGAATCGTGTCCCATATGCTTCGGATATAGGATCGATTGCATGTGCTATAATATTCATCCTTTCTAAAATTTTTCCAAATGCCTGGGGCATTAAGAAGGGAAAAGGTCTAGAATTGGATATGACTAAAAGAATTAAGCAATTGTCGAGGACAATCTAAGGTTTACCAAAGATTGGTTGCTCAATGACAATTGGAAGTATGGTGTTAATTTTGGAAAGACCTTATTGAGTTATTCTGAAAAGAGGCAACTCTTGTTCAGAAGTGACAGTCAAAATGGGAATATGGAAATGTTTCATAGTTGGAAGTTATTCAATGTATGTAAGATTAGAAAAACTTAATGCAAGAAGGATGTTTCCATGGAGTTGATCTCCATTGGAATACTCTGTAATGTCTGTTGACAAGTCTTTGTGACTTTGTGCATAATCATTACAAGAGGATCATGCATATAAGTTTAAAATCTAACAGATTTCGATAAATGATAGGAATTTGGAATTCTTACATTTTTGATAAGGATTTGGGAGTGTGAAAAGAGAATCATTGAAATTGTGTTCAGTCGATCTAGTTCACAAAGTAAAGATCATAGACAAACATAGAGTGCTTACTTGGTGTATGGCAAAGCTATTGATTAGAAAAACATAATGTACATGCTTGGAGCATGGGACAACTAGTGTTTTTAATTCAAGTATAAAGTTGATAAAACCGAAACAATGAATAATGAGTAATCAGTATGGTGATAAATAAAAAGTGTTCTATTTATATTCATAGGTTTTGATACCATATTAGATTCAATTATTCTTGTGTTTCATTTTGCATGTTTTGACTTCCAGAATAACTAGGTTGTTCTTCCTGAATGACTAAGTTATTCAAACCATCCACAGTCGGTCATATGTTGGAAGTAGATATGAATCAAGACTGTCATGGGTTGGCTTGTAGAGGTCTAAGATGTTGGACAAAGCGGTGCTACAACACTCATGAGTGCTCATAAGTTCTGAGTATTGGATTCAACCCGCACTCATTTGAATCACTTCATGGATTTTATCACGAGTGATCATGAGACGATAATATCTTATATTCTTTAAACCTAGAGATATGAGTTGTTACTATGAGTTGGTTGTACATTGATTGCGCGAAAACGCATTGGTAACTCGATGTTATAAAACGTGCTTTTGTATATGATTCAACAAGTAGTAGAACAAGCCATATGAGTCGAAGTTTATCCATTCATTTTACCTTCAGGATAAAAGCGATATCTGTGGGCCCCTCGATGATTTAGTGATGACAAATGTAAGTGCTCGGCCGGGCCTGGACTGATTTGATTTGTTCAATTAGTCAGTCGTTATAAATCGGAAATCGGGAAACAACAAATGGACAGAGAGAATGATTTATAATCCATGTCTCAGTCCATATGATATCTAGAATGGAGGAATATATGATCCCTTATCTAATGGACAAGTCATTGACGAGATTAGAGTTCAGTTACAACGTCAGAGTTCGACAGCAGCTTAAAGAGCTACGATTGCCAGTCAGTTATTGAAGTCATACTCAATAATAGTTTTAGACTTATCCAAGTGGGAGACTGTTGGATTAGTGTCTAAGTCCATAACTATATTTGGTATGTACTTGACCCGACCCGACATGGTCCATTTGGGTTGCATGGCATCGGAACATTTGGATAGACCGTTTTATGAGAAGAGGACATTTGTGACATATTAATATATTATAAGCTCTAATATATTAATATGAAATCATGTTATTTAATTAGTATTGATCAAGAATTAATTTGGACTTAATTTAGTGATCAAAAAGAGACTAATTAAATATATGGGGATTGATTGTGTAAATCATTCATTCTTATATATGTGGGCTTATGATCCATGATTCCTTATGTTGGGTTTAACCCATGTGGTGACCCATGGATACTCCATGGAGGTTAAAACCCATGGAGCATAAGGAATGGGTAAAGTCATGAGTTACATGGTGTAACCCTAATGTGCACACTATATAAGGACCCCTTTAGCTCAAGAAATTGGCGCTAGTGATACATATATGAGGGCTAGCCGATTTGAGCATGAGTGTCTTCTTCTCATGGTTATTCCATGTGTTGGTGATGTTGTGTGAACCATTTGAGGTGTCACACTTGGAGCACTAGGCTCTTAAGCATCAAGGAATCAAGCTACATAAAAAAGTATGTCTTCTAACTTGTTTTATTACCCAAGTATCAAAGATTGTATGCTAGATAGGGTAATACCTTGGAATATTCATATTTGCATGTATAATAGAGAAAAACATAGATCCAAGGTATTTAGGGTTGCATGTACACTTAGGAGTGTTAGAATGCTCAAAACCCAACAGTTGGATGATGTGGACAGGTTTTGGGTATGGAGGTTGGTCGGCGTAGCTTGTTGGTAATGGGAAATTACGGGAAGGAGGGGTGCATTCGCCGGAAACGATGATGTCAAGAAAACCGGTGTTTGGGTTGCCATTGTTTGGGCCAGCGGTGGCATTGAGGGGGTTGCTTGCGCTTCCGCTGGTGTCTGGATTATCGGTGATGGGTGTATGTTGGTTGGATGTCGGTCGTTTGATTTAGTGGCAGCATTGCTTGAAGGGTCGTTTGTTGCTCTCTCGCCATTGGATTAAACAGCGGTAGTATCTGAGAAGCTATCGGTTGCGCCGCTACCAGTTGGCCCGATGGCGGTGTTTGAAAAAATGTGGGTTGTGGCATTGTCATCTGGACTGGCATCGGCTGTTGGGGTAGGACCAGTGCCGCGACGTGGGTGTTTGCCATTGACAGCGCAAGCGGTGGTTGAGACGTCTGCGTCAGAGTGATTGTTGTTAGGGCGGCAGCGGAAGAAAGGTGTCCCTCGCCGGCCGGTTGTTGTTTTCTATCTGGTGGTTCGACGGTTACCACCGAACCACCCTCATTTGACACCTCTCTAGCGACCACTATGGTTGGTGGTGTTTCTTCTAACGACGCCATTGACCGAATGGGACTAACCGGTGTCCCACTGGTACCTCCGGTGTCGACAGATGCCATTTCTTTCTGATGAACGGTGTGCTTTTGGTTTTGTTTTTCGTCACACAACGGATGACGCCAAATGATGCGACCTTGATCTCCGTCTACTCGAACTTCGGCAACGATTGCTTCGTTGCTCCTGCAAGGTCACAGTGAAAAGAAGGCCATCACCCGTTTCCCGGGAGGATCTCCCGTAAAGACGCTTCGACGGTCAAGTCAGTTGGGTATTCTAGGGTTTAGTGTATGTTCCTTGGAGAAGATTGCTTACCTGTCGGGGTTGTGGGTGTAGCTTTTATATTAGGCGCTCCTGATCGTCCGTACGGGACAGGATCGCCAGAGCCGACAGGATCAGGAGCGCTGATTGGAGGATCGTGCTCCTCTATCTGTCAGAGTGCTGTGATTGGTTCTGGCAGTAATGCCTTGATCGTCTGTTTTGTCGCTTGACCGTAACATTTGTCTTGGAACGGGAAACGCCCTAAGCGGGCGCGAGCCTTTCTGCGGGAGCGCCCTGCTCTTAGGGGCGCCGGCGGACGCTAAGCTCCGCTGGGTCTGTCCTGCCGGGCACGCTATGTCTTGAGGCATTCTGTCGCGGCCGGGCGCTGTTATTTTCGTGCTTGCTAGGGCACATTATCAACATCCTTAGAGCATGTCCCATCATATATATATAATATATATATATATATATATATATATATATATATATATATAAACACGTTTATGATTGAACAAGTTTTTTGCATATAAACATGTTTTTTTATTGATACATATATACTTTTAAATACATAAAAATATGTATTTTTAGTTCTAAAAACATATTAATTTGTTTTTTTGTTTACAAATTAAACGGTTTAACCAAACAAAAAAAAAAACCCGCATATAAAGCAATAACATTTAAAAAGAAAGTAAATACAATATTTAATTAAACATTTTTTTCATATATAAATACGATTTTCTGTTTGAATAAGTATAATATGAAAAAAAAATAATTAGAATAAAAGCGTAAAACAATTATAAATTTAAAGGTAAAAACGTGAAAAAAAGTCAACTTAAGGGTTTTTTTGCGAAGTTAATATAATAGTAACCTCTTATCTTCTGTAAAATGAACATTTTTTGGAAAATTTAAAGGTTAAAACGGACATAAAATTCAACTTTAGGTAAAACCGACAAAAACCTGAAAATTCGAGGGTTTTTATGACATTAACCAACTCAAGAAAAGTCTGGGGATGATTCTGTAATTTTTGGGTTGTTGCCGCCCTCAGCCAAAAAAGTCTAGGGACGATATTGTAATTTTTACTTCCTTCAGCATCTGCAACAAAGGAAAGGATCGGCTGAGGAGCAGTTGTATACAACTTCACCGGTCAGAACTCAGAAGTAGATCATAGAAGATTAGAAGGAGGAATCCGGCTTCGTTAATCCGACCCTACCCACCGGTATAGATCTGGTGCGTTTGCTATTTGGTCTTATCACCCTAACGCCAGATGTTCATCATGCGGTACTTAATTTTTAAATTAGGTTTTTATTGCGTAGGATTATCTTGAATCTTAATTGTCTTTCAGTTATCAGTTTACGTAGTGAAAGTCTTTCTAGATATTGCGAAATCATGAATGATTCTAGATCTTATACTCGTTCTACATATCAATCTTATCTCAACAAACGATCAATTATTATCATGTTGCTATTGGAGAGTATGTCTTGATTAAGATGACTGCTGTGAAGGGAAGTAGAAACTTAGTTGTACCAGTAATCCTGCTACTGTCAGTCTTTATGCTTGAAGCTCAAAAATCTTATATGAATCGTAGGTCAATTAGGTTTATTCACTGTTAGTTTGGACTGGTAGAAGTGAAGTTTGATAGAGGCAGTGCCACCTCTGCTCCAAAATAACTGGTACTTTTAAAACTCTCAAGCAAAACATGCTATACCCTTCGCAATTCATCTGGTTTGTAAACTTTCTTGAAATAATAGATGGCCATGTTAAACTTGTAAGAAATTCTACAAGTAGAAGAGCTGTGGTGAAGTAGTTGATTATAATTGCTATAATCACGTCTAAAAAACTAAAATGTTTAAGTTATATAGCTAGTTGAATGGTTTGTTTGCTTATTTATTGACTATAGTAGCTATAATTGTTGAACATAATAAATATGCTTTCATTTCTTTATGCCCATCGCTAAATATGAAATAGCGGTTGCTATCGCTATGTAGCATATAGGTAGCCTGTTTGGGGACAAAACCAACAAAAGGATATGCAAATGGTTCATAAGGGTCCCAGATAATTGTAGGATTCATCACTGTCGCTGCATTGGAAGTTTCTTCTGATTGGTCACCAATCAAACATATGATAAATTTCACTACTTTCCTAGTGATGAAATATGTTATCACACACACAAAACCAACAGAAACACGCCTACAGTCTTCTGACTCCAGAATGCAATATCTCTTTGTTGATGGCTACACATAAATAAGTGTCTCTATAACAAATATCTACTTACTTGCCTACCTGTTAGTGGTATGCACTTGATGTGATGAAAAGGCACACAAGTATGATACACAGTCAGATCTTTTTCCTAGTCCTACCTCTCTTTTCAATATGGCAAGTTGAGTATTTGCACTCCTACAAATATCTTGGTGTGAGACTTGAACCTCCCAATTCTGTGTTTGTGATGATTACGACTTGATAGAAACCTAAGATGAACGTTTTATAGATGGGGTATATTCCATTAACTGTTAATGATATGTGATATGATTGTGGAATCGCTAGGCCAAACACCATTAAAACCTAGATTTGTACAAGTTTATTCTAGAAGGCCCAAAAGGGCAATTTGGGAAAAGTGGCGCTGAAGTCGGTTAGAGTAGAATAAAAGGGGGAGACGATTCCATTGTTAGGTGTGCTGATTTTAGATATTTTGATACAGTTTGTATTGGAGAGAGGGAGTTTCCCTGGAAGAATCATATGATTTTCGTTAATCATTCAATCTAGTTCCTCATCTTCTTCTTTACACTTCTTCACTGCTATTTTTCTAGTTTCTATCTGTATGAGGCATGATGGATTACTAAGGTGGTGTTTGTTTTGGAAGTGGTAAAATGTCTTTAGTCCTTTTCCGTGTCTGCGGCAGAAGATGTGGACCAAAAGTATGTTTCCATGCCTTCATACAAGAAGTCTTTATACAAAAGATTGTTTGTTTTTAATGTCTTTTTCAAATGACCCAAGTTTACCAATATATGTGAAGTTTTTTTTTTTTTTTTTTTAACTCAAATTTTGTTTTTATTTTAGTAGCCATTAATTGCCATCGTGGGAGTTGCACCCGAAGGTTATCTTTTTTGTCATTTTATCAAAGGGCATATTCGTCAAAACACCAAAACTACACTAGTGAGAAACCAAAAACCAGAAATGTACTACAACCAAGGCACTAGAAGGAGCAGCAGGCACCTGTAACACAAAATAAAACCAAGGGCAAAAAGGTCAATGTTTGACATGAGTCTTGAAAACACCAGCAAAGTAATAAGAAAGGGCATGTAATTGAGATAACATGCGATCAACCCACTCAAATCTCAAGGCAACCAGCAACATGAGAGGTAAACAACAAAGTAAATAGTACTTAACAAAAAAAGTAAACAACAAATTGAGTTTGGAATCAATGATTCCGATGTTGGTTTCAAGAAGGAGCAAGTGCTTCTGAAGCGAGAGCACAATAGACAAGTTGAGCTTAAAGATGAGAAAAGGGTATCAAAAAATTACTAGCCCTGTAGTAATTTGATGCTTGTTTATGGCTTTATGCGTCTTGTGTGAGATGATAAATCATAAATCTTGTTTTATAATATCCTAGTTTGCCTTGAAAAATTGAATCAGTGACATTTTCATATACAGATGTAGCTGATGAAAAGAAAAAACTCCACGTACAATAATAAGATGTTCCTAAATCTTAATTCAAAGCAATTATTCATTATTCAACTGAAGGAGTAGATTCACATCTAAATTACAGATTGGACACTACAAATTTTGGACAGCAGATTTGGTGCCAAAGGGATTTCAAAGAAGAAACAAGAAAATTACTTGTTCAAACAGGAAACAACTTATAGTTTTCTGGTATAAGAGCAGTAAACAACAGGAAAATTACATTTTAAACAAAGCATAATCAATTAGATCCGGTAGAAAACAAAACAAAATCAAACAGATAAACAGGAAGTTATTCAAGAAATCAACAACATTGAGGTTTTTAATTGACAAAATGGTAAATGGTAGATGGGATTTCACCATTAATGGAGTTTAAAGTAATAATACAAGTTGAGAGGGAGATAAGAAAAGAGAAACGAAAGAGGAGAACGAAGAGCGATGGAACAGATTGTACCTGATGACCCGGCGGCGGCGGCGGCGGCGATGTGGAGTGACGGGGGCAGAGCATGAAGTGTCGAAGGCGGATCAATGACCGATGTCCGCCAGAGGTATGGCCGGTGTGGGAGGATGCAATCGTGAAAGGGAAAGAGCGAATGGAGGCGATGAATGTATTCTGCAATTAGAAGCGGTATTTTTAGGTCTTTCAGGAAAAGAGATGAAAAAGTCTTTTTGAGGTTTTTTGTCTTCCAGAAAACAAACAATCTTTTTGGTAAACATCTACCCGCCGGCAGATGTAAGCGCCCAAAAAGTCTTTGTGCCAAAAAACAAACGAGCCCTAAGTAATACTAAAAGCAAGGAACATACAAATCCTTGATGGAAGTTCTTATTACTGTGTAAGAAATATAATTACACATCTTTCAATCCTCACATCAGTTGCAACAATTATTCACTATTCATTAGCTCTAACACATGCACAAGTCACCAAACTTTTTGGTTATATACCAAACATAATGGGCTCAAATTTTCTCTGTCCCAGTATCAAAGTAGACAAGAAACACATTTAGTTTGATTCATATTTTTACTCGAATTCAAATGTGTCTATTTTTTTTTTAAATTTATTCAAAATTTGAGGTGTCGTAATTTTTGTATTTTTGTTTCAGATCTATGAATATATGATCACATCTTGAAGCAAACAACAAAATTGACGACCTGATTGTAGCTTAGCTTGCATTTGCAATAAAAATGTCTTCAGCTCAAGATCCATTTTACATTGTAAAAGACGAGATTCAAGATTCTGTAAGTTGGGGAAGTTTTTTATTTTATTCATGCTTCTCCTCGAGGTCCTGAATAAATAGGTTGGTTTGTTTTTTTGGGGTATTAGATTGATAGCCTCCAGGGCAGCTTTCATGAATGGGAACGCGTCCCTGTTGGCAGCGGGGAACAATCTCGGGTGACAAAGGAACTCCTTTCCAATTGCGAGAGCATCGAATGGCAGGTATGTATCTGAAATACAGACAAGTTAAGCAAAAGATCAAATCTGTTTTGAGTTCTGAAAATGAATTTTTGTGATAGGGAAGGTGGATGAGCTGGAAAAGGCTATTTCTGTAGCTGCTAGAGACCCTTCTTTGTATGGTATAAACCAAGTGGAGCTTGAAAAGCGAAGGAAGTGGACCACTACTGCTCGGATTCAGGTACAAATCTTTTCATTTATTACTTTGGTAAGTATGCATATGACTCTTATTTTCTATGCTTGATATGTAACCAATCAGGTGGGAAATATTAAGAAAGCAGTGACAGTGGCCGGAAGCAGTTCAAACTTTGGTGGGATGCGCCAAGAATTAACGCGGATGCCAAAGTCTCATCAGCAGCAGGATAAGGATAGGTCATATGCTGCTGTAGATAATGATGATTTTATTTCTTCAGAATCAGACACACAGATGCTTCTCATCAGGTAAGCTTTTGCTTTTGTAATTTGTTTCTTGTTTACTAGCCCCAAATGAATTGTTTTTTTTATACTCATATTTTATTGGTAGATATACCTAAAAAAGCAGGTCCAATGGGTTGATCTAGCATACCTTTACCTGGTGTTTATAACCTCTTAAATTGTTTTTTGAACCCATTATCACAAGGGATGGGATGATGATGTATTTTTATTATAGCATCCTAATTTTGTTCCATTGTGTTATAACGTTGTACTTTGAAAAATTTACCACAATGTCATCCAAATGGAAAACAATTAGGATAAGGTCCTAATAAGAAGTTGAATGTACAATGCTAAAAATAAATGGATAGATTTTCAAAATACAATGCATGAATAAGAAAAAAAGCTCAAAGTAGATTGTGTTAATGATGATAAAAATTGAAATATATAAATCTGTATTTGTGAATAATATGTAATTGTTGTATGTATGGCAATGGTACAACAGACAACAAGATGAAGAGTTAGATGAACTAAGTGCAAGTGTGGAAAGGATCGGATCTGTTGGGCTCACCATACATGACGAACTCCTTTCACAGGTGCACATGTGCTTTATGCATCTTCTTCTTATTCTTCTTCTTCACACTTCACAATTCACATAGATAGATTATTTATTTGATCACCAAAAACAAGCTTAGTTGTTTATTCCCCCCCATTGCAGGAGAAAATTATAGAGGATTTGGGTTCAGAAATGGAAAGTACATCTAATCGTCTTGATTTTGTTCAGGTTAGTGTTACTCTTCTCTCATCTCATGATGTGTTTGATAGATACTACATAATAGGTGATAGATGGGACAAGACTGGACCTCACCTAATAAATAATAGTTAACAGAAGCTACCTTACTTGTACTATTTTGATGTGCATTACAAAAAAAGTTTGCAATCTTTTCTTTTGTCCAACCCAAAAAGGTGTGTGTGTGTGTGTGGCAAAGGAGGTACACGTGCAAAAGCCCTTCTCATTGAAAATAGTCCTAAAAATCACATACATGTTACATATTACATTTATATATATTTTGCTGCATGCAGAAAAAAGTGGGCATGGTTATGAAGAAGGCCAGTGCCAAGGGACAGATGATGATGATCTTATTCTTGATTCTCCTCTTCATTATCTTATTTGTTTTGGTTTTCTTCACCTAAACTCATATGCTGTTTCTTGATTTCAAGAATAAAAAAAAAATTACTGTATTATCTTAGAGTGTAAGCAGCTAGGTGTTTTCATTAGACTTTTGTTGCTTTATATGGTGTGAGTAAATTGAGAAAAAGTTTTCCAAGAATATTATTGTACCGCTTTTGAACATAGTTTTATTAATACCTTGTACCAGTTTGTTTTTGTCTTTTTAAAGAAACAGAGTCCAACATTTATTATTAATCTGGTACAAAATTTAGCTATGCTTGTTGTTGCTATTTATTATGAAAGCCTCACCATCACCACTTGCACATTCATCACTTATCATATGGAGTCAAAACTTGTTTTGTTGAATTTAATTAAACCGGAAGCAAACAGAATAATCAACCGACAGAAACATAATGCTTCCTAAAAAATAAAAAATCGAGTCCTTGATTACACATTCTCTTCAATTGACATCCCACGTTATAGCTAAGCTACTTGTAACAGGGACCCAAAAGAGGAAAGATGAAAAGGACATCCACCCTACTTGAATGGCCCGCCAATTAGGCAAAAATGATTTAGATTAATTAGACTGACCAACCATCCTCTAGAAAGTAGAATCTAGATTAGATTTTTGGTCTCCTCCTTCGTCCTTGTACAAGAAATGGTATTTGCCCATCTTCATCATGAAACAGTTGTTCTTGTGCTCCACCACGTAGTTTCTCCAAACTTAATCCCTCCATCTCCATGTTTATCATCTTCACCACTTTAACAACATTTGTTAACCCCCCAATAACCAACAACGAACTTGCAATGATACCAATCCACACCCATGTATGTGTCTGCCATATCATATATATATATATATATATATATATATATATATATATATATATATATATATATATATAGTACAATTAGGCAACAACCTTTAACTAATTAAACTAGGATGCTGTAACAATAAACAAATTAATGAAAGTACATTGCTAGCTAGCTAGGTAGCAATTTGTTGTTGCATATCTAATCTAATTAACCCTTTGAAATATAAAATGAAACATACCAACAAATGCAGACCATGATGAGTATGTCCAAGTTGGTCTCTGAAGTTGAGAAGGGCTCCCACCAAGAACAAGAAGCTACCCATCAAGAAGGGGATCTGGACAGCGTGTTGCAATATTTGAATGTGGGCGTCTACGTGCTCGTAAAATTGGCATGAATTATGGATGGACCCAACAACCCATAATGAATTCCCCGCAATAACCATGTTTAGAGCATGACCCTCAATCCCCTCATAACCAAATCCTCTATCCGCCTACAAATTACAATTAATTTAATTCATCAGGAATAATCTGGAAAACTGCTTCATATTCTTTATTTCTTCATTCTCATTGTCCCATTATATATACTAGTATTTATAATTATAATTTTTCCCGTGCTCGCGCGCGTGTATATATATATATATATATATATATATATATATATATATATATATATATATATATATATATATATATATATATATATATCGAGGAGAACACGTGCCCAAGGAATATTGGGTTACATACAATCTATGTGACGTGATCATAAACTGAATTCAATCACTTTCATCAATGTAATCTATTACTATTAATTAGTATTTTCTAATTATGTAATTATTAAAAAATGATACAAGTAACCATCTAACCTGGAGGACGAGCAAAAGAATTGCGATAAAAAATAGAAGTCCTCCGACGGCCTGAACGACGGGCACCATAACTTCAACGAACAGAATCTGAGCATCCAGCTCCATCAGCCGCATCTGGTAATCAATGGCGGCGAGATGTGCGAACAGATCATGTATGTTCACAACTACTATTAAACCTAATCCTATCATCAAAACCACCAGTCCCGATTTCGCCTCCCTGGAAAACTGCGCCACGAAACCACACAGCAACACAATCGTCGAGAACACGTAAAGTCCTGCGTTCGTATACTCCGATCTCTCTCGAGTCCGCCCTGATCCGTACAGCCTCCCCTCACGCGCCGTCGCCAACTTCACCATATTCCTTAATTCGATATCACAATAAAATTAGAATGCCTTTCTGGAAACTGACAACAGATCGATGATCTGAAACCAGAGTGTAGAGTGAGATGGTGAAAGGGTCAGTGTGTGTGGTTACGTGGCATCCTGCAGCATGAACATATACCTACTAGTGGTGCCGTATAACACGTGGCAGTTGCCTGATTTATTTCCTGTTTCTATGTTCACCCAAAATTTTATTTGGACTCCTCTTTTTCTATTTTTCAGTAAACAAAATTACTCATACTATTATTTAAACTAATATATTTAAACACAAAATTTTACTTTGCCAAAACCAAGCGTGTGTATTATGTGTCTAAGGTTTCTATAATACATTAAACTCCAATAGTTTGACACATATAAAATAATATTTAAATCTATATTTATTTAATTTATATATTTTAATTAATTTTATTTTAAAATATCAATAAATTAAACTCATCCCATCACACCTCACCCCACCTTAACTCCTTAAGCACTTTTCTTTCCTAGAAGCCTCATCAGAGCTTGTGGAAGGATGGAGCCGAACGACCCATAAACAAATAATGCTAAATTTCTGAACAATTGCAAAAAATACTGATTTTTAAGAACTAATTAAGAAGAAACTATGTTTTGCAGGAAACTCAATAACTGATTTGGCCGACACAGATCGGTTATGCGATGATGGTGTATCGGTGGTACGTAGATCCATTGTAAAAACTCAAGAACAACCTCTGTTTTGCAAGAAACTAAAGAACTGATTTGGCTGACGTAAATTGGTGATGTGCATATCCATTGCAGGAAACTCAATAGCAAACTCTGGTCCCACCGCCACATCCACCACCACCTAGCCATCCACTCAAATGTCGTAAAGTTTGTATTTGCTCTATAAAAGACGAGAGTGAATCTCAAGTTGTTATGTCAGCACAAAAATGTTGAAGAGGACATCACTTCAATGAAAATCACCTTTAACCAGTTGCGTAGCCACATAGACGCAACAATGGACCTTGGCCCGTCCCATATAAATTTACGAATATAAGAGATTACTGCCACTTTCACTTTGACGATTAAATACATTAATGTTGCCGCTTTGCTTTTTGAATAATTTGCTCAGTGTTTAATATTTCATTCGTTAATCTGTAACATCCTGTTTTAGGTCGATTCATATTCGGGACCATGACCCGAATATATGTTACCAGGAGGCTTCAGATCTTAGGGAAGAAAGGTTTAGACCCCTTTGAGTGTGGGTAATGTAGCTTGGATGATCTGAGAGTTCGGTTTGTGTTTTTGGAGACCAAGGGTATATCGGTAAAGTGGCAATTCGGGCCATTTATGGAATTAGATTTTTGTTTGGAAAGTTTTATGGCAAGGGGGAGTTGATAGAAAGGTAGAGTTCTCCAAGACCTTTCTGTGGATATAAAGAACGTCGAAAACGGAGTTGAAACGAAGAAGTTATGACCATTTGAAGTTGGAGTGGTTTGGGTGAGTGATCGTTAACTTGTTGACCAACCTCATTTAAGGCTTACGACGTGAGCATTAAGAGCTCACGACGTGAGAGGCACCTGATGCCCTAAAACCCTTATTTTCAGGTATTTAAAGGTATGAGATGATTAGGGTTGCTCCTCCTCAGCCTCCTTCACTTCCAAGACCTCTAGAAACCATAATCTCAACCCCCATTGAAGTTCTTGGTCATTCTTGGTGTTATTCAAGAGCTTTTGGGAGAAGAAGATCATTGTGGTGCATTTGTTAGCATCTTGACTTCATCATCAACTAGTTGTGGAGCTTTTGGACCTCTGTAAGTCCTCAAGCTCATGCCTTTCCTTTTCTAGCTTGCTAGATCTAAGTTTCCGTGCATTTTATGGCTTGTAATGTTGGTTAGCATGCATGTGATCCATAAATTTGGCAACTTTATGGATCATGGTGGTATCTTAAGTCTTATAAGTTTTAGATCTGGATTTTGGTCATGGTTTTGGACTCCAAGCTTGAGTCTTGGTCCATTTCCCTCCATTTTGACCTAAGTTGGTGTTTAAGTCATGTATTGGACGCACATGACTGAAAAGCTTCGATTTTTATGGCCCTTGGGGTCAAGGAAGACCCTCTAGACTGTCCCATTGATAGCTTATTTTATTTCCTTATTTTTATTAGTTTATTTTAGATTTTTAGATCTTTTTATCATTATTGCATTGTATTTTATTTATTTTCTTTATTATGGATCATACCGGGTGCTTTTTATGTTGCATGAGGTATTTTGCAGGGTTTTCGGTGTTCGTTGCGGACGCGGGTTGATTGGAAATGGGCTTAGTGGGCTCTCGAGGCATTGTTGGGCTTGGCGGATCCATAAAAGGAGATTTGGGCCTTAAGAGTTAAAGACTTGGATATTTTGGGCTTGTAAAGATGGGTCATAAACTTTTAATTTGGGCTTGGAGCATCCATTCCTTGAAGCTAAAAGATGATTGGTTGGTTTAAATCACATGGATATGGAGGGGACCAAAGGAATCTTTGGTAGTGGAAGGGTGGAGTGGAGGAATGAAGGACCAATAGCATTATAGCAACATTTGCGCGGGTGGAATTTTCGTCGCGCGGGTACTCGCGCAACTGCCTAGTTTGGGCATTTTGGTCATTTGGCACACCATAACCTTGGGGGATCAGATCTAGCAGCCATACTCTCGATTTGACACCATTGGAGACCAGGAGAAGGCGATTTTGAAGCTCAAGACTCATTTCTTTTCATCTTTCCAAGTTATTGGTAGTTTCTTTATGCAATTAGACTTTTGTGATTGTTGTTCTATTGCCATGAGTGGCTAAACTCTCTATTTTGGTAGACCTTGGCTAAAACCTCTGAATGTTTGTGGGTTTTTGAAGGATTTATGCTTATTTATCATTTATCTTATGTCTATGATTCTAGTTCATATTTCCTATGCTTGTTTAGTGCTTTGATCATGAGCTTGGTACTTTAATAAGCAATTGTTGGTTTATTTCTTTGGTTTAGCATTGAATCATTGAATTTACTTAGAACAAAGACTTTATGATGGTAGAAATCATCTCTACCTTATGAATCATAACTCCTTTATGGATGTGTAAGCATTGACATCCTCTAGAAATTGGGGATTTCTTCATTCTTAAGGCTAATCAACTTTTTGGGTTCAATTGCTTCAATTGACCCTTGATCTTGATTAAGAAGGTGTGTTGTGGGCTTCCCCAACCTCCATAC